CGCGCTGCTGCTGCTGCTGCTGCAATTGCCCCTGTTCGGGAAGGTTTTAGAGCAGTTCAGACCCAAGGCTGGTGCCCTTTAGTTTTATTATAGATTTATGGTCGGGGCAGGGCCTCTCGGCCCCAGCAATCTGGCGCCTGCTCCTGCTGCCCAAACTTGCCCAGGCCACCAACCTCACACGGGACAACCGTGTTTTCTTAAGCAACAATAGGGCGCTTCTCCCCTGCCTTCTCTGCCGCTCCCATTTTCTCTCAGTTAAATCCTCTTCAGTCTCACTCTTTCAACTCCGTGGCGTTTTGGATCTGAGCTTCTTTTCTTTCTGTCTCCGTGTCTCCTCCCCACCTGGAGTATTTCCCTCCTTCCCTCTTCTCTTTCATATCATCTTCATCCTCACTACAGCTTCCCTCCCGCCTACGTTTGTCTGTCCCTACCTCTTCAACTGATTCACTTCCCCACCAGCGAGGAAATTCCCATTCAAGGCCATCATTTTCTCTCTTTTTGGATACTGCAGGTCCCTTGACTGTGGCCTCTCCACGTTCCAGTTCTCTTGACAGCAGTATATAGATTATTAGTACCTGATATTTTTTACTCATATGAAAGAGCGCAATTGTATAATTTCTCAGAACTCAGGTAAGTGATTATTTATTGGATCTAGTTTGTATGTGCCCTCCTTGTCAAGCACCAATCTCCCCACTCTATTTCTTCCCACAGTCTCACCTCTTCCATATGGAGTGTCATCTCAGCTGCCTTGACCTGCTGGACTAGCCTTTCTGTATATCTGTTCTTGACATATTTTTCCATTGCATCCCATTCCAGTACCAACTTACATGGTACTGCTTCCATCAATAATGCCAGTTTGGTGCAGTAGCTTCTCTCCAGCTGCTTTTATTACATTTGGGGACATAATAGCTATGCCAGAACCAGACTCTCTTTTGCTTCATGTCTCACTGTTATCAGCAGCTTCCTCATGAAAGATTTTCCTACACTTATCTTTGACACAGATATCCATCTCTCAACCACTCTCTTCAACTTCATCAGACTCTGTAGAGATCATGAATACATCCTATAGAGAAGATCTGTTCTTCTGAGTTTTCCTCGGTAGGCTATAACAGAAATCCTTCTCCAAGGACTGCCTCCTCCTTTCCTGGGTTAGTTCATGAGGATGAACCAGAATAATATCAGGATGTCAGCATTTTCCCTGTCATTGCAGGAGACACTGTTTTGTCTCATTACAGGTTCTATGGATTCCTTTACTTTATTTTTATATGCCCTATCCTTTTGGTAAGCAGTTCTGGCTTTACTGGAACCCTTAATTTGTTTAAATTGCTGTATATTCTTTGAGAATCCATTTGTCCAGGAATAGGTTGTGTCTTCCTGTAAAGCCTTCAAGATCAGTGCAATCATCTTATCAAAGTGATCCTCGTGACTTGGGAGAGGAAATCCAAAGCGTGAATGATTGTTATATGTATCCTTCTCTTCCTTTGACAACTCCATTTTTGCTGGATGAAGTGGTCAGTCTATCTATGATGGACCATTTTAAGGTTTTTCAAGATCAAGAGAATGGCTGACGCCTTACAAATCCCTTTGGAAGTTGTACAAGAATAGTAACAAATTGATTGATGCATTACATTCTGTCATTCAAGGTCAATTGGCTATGTCCATACACATAGGTATTCTTGAACCAGTCAGAGATTTGTGACAGATCTAGCCTTCATCTTTACAGCCCTGTGTGGACAAAAAAATTGGCATCCACAACTGAATCTGCAAAATTGATCTGCGGATATCTGCATCCATATCTCTAAAAGTGGATACCTGCAGATATAAAGCAAATATGTGCATTTTCAGAATTCTACATACAAAATTTGTATCCACAGCGATATCCACAAAAATAAGCTGTGGATATCCACATCTGCAGATGCGGCTACCCATGGATATAAAGCAGATATCAGCTGATTTTCAGGGCTCAATCCATTTTACCTATCTCCTTCCCCCTCAAAAAAGGGCATCTACAGGCAGTCCCCGGGTTACGTACAAGATAGGGACTGTAGGTTTGTTCTTAAGTTGAATTTGTATGTAGGTCGGAACTGGTACATATTGTAGGGGAAACTCTAGCCAAACATTTCTCCAGAGCTCAGTTTTATTCTCCCACACCTCACTTCCCTCAGTCCTTTATTCTCAAGCTGAGGTGTCTGCTGAGAAAAGCCGCTCCGCATCTCCCTGGTCTGCTGGGGAGGGGCGCTAGCTTCGCGTCTCCCTGGTCTGCTGGGGGGAAGCAGCTAGTGCGGGGTTGCCTCACCCCGTTTGTAAGTAGGGATCCGATGTAAGTCGGATCCATGTAACCCAGGGACTGCCTGTATTGTAAATAAGTTTACTAATATCAATCTCTACTTTTTTTAGTCAAGAATATCTTATGCTTTATTTGAAAGCTTATGGTTTAAATTAAATTGAAACTACTGCTCATTGGCACTAACACACTTCCTAGACTCCTTTTCCTCATCGTGAAATCTATCAGCTCTATTGTCGTGGAATAATATGTGGTCCTCCAAGTAGTGTCATCAAGTATTATTGAGATCAAATTCTCTCTGTGCACATCGCTGAATAACTTTGTGGCTGAGACCCAACTCCTTCATAACAAGTAGGATAAATTGAATGTACAGTGCTTAGAGAGAATTTAGCAGTCGCCTTTAGTATAAAAAATAGTTTCTGCCATAACATCATGATTAGAGGAGCTTGACTAGAAGAGCAGAGAAAATGTGACAAGAACTATGCTGGGGGATCAATTTAGTTAATGGTTTACTATAAGTTTAACTACATGGAATATTGCCATTAAATCACAAGAACAAATTATGTAGCAGTTCACAGTTCATTACTAAAACAACGAGGAGTCCTGTTATCTGTCAGGGAAGGGGAATAAGTCTTCTTCACTTAAAAAACCACTTTCACATCCTATAAGTATCAATAATAAACCAACATAAGACCCTGAAAATATAATAAAATTGGTCTATAACATAAAAGCTGATTCTGAACATTTGTTTCCTGACAGCATAGCAAATCATAAATTGTTATTTCAATTGAATAATCTCACAGTGTGCTGCTAAATTGTATAAAGTTTATCAGAACTGTGTTATTCAGAGCTTTATTATGTCTTTAATCGCCAAGACATTATGACCCAATCAAAAAGTCTGAGGAGGACTTACAATTTAGGGATTGAATTAATATGTGGATTACAGCAATGTTACAATAGACTGGTAGTACATAGTGTCCAGACTCTATTTACACTATGAACACTTGAAGAATATATTAGAGTCTACATTATTTTTAGATTGTGGGCAAGCCATTTTGGCTGGATTATATGTTGAACATGCATACATCTGAAAATTGTTGTTTTTCTAGATTGTAATAGCCATGGTTTAGGTTTTAAAGCGCAAGGTGTGTTCTCTTGCTCACTACATACATTATTTTTTAATGAGTGGGTGGGATCAGAAAGTTCAGTGGAAAGGCTTCATTATCAAGGACGCCATTTTAGATTTTGGTAGGGGGACAACCTGTGCATACCATGATGGGGGGAGGGGAAAAAACAGTGAGAACATGGGGGGCAGACTGAGGACAGAGGCTTCAGCAGTGTCACTAAGCATGCTTAGTACAAGCCCAGCACCAAATAGGGAGGGGGAAATTCAACCCCATCTGCCCTCCCTCCCACATCATCTCTATCCAGGGGCTACCAAAGCACTGGAAAAGTCTACTTTTTTTGGCAGACAACTTAGCAGTTAGCGACAGGAGCACTGTGTCTAATTCCTATATAAAAGAAAGAAATTTAAATCAATATTAGACCCACTCAGCTCTAACACAAACATATGCTGACATCTTGTGGCAAATCACTTAAGGGACACTTGAGAGGCAGTCGGTAAATTCTGACAAGCCGTGCCTCAGCACCTACGAAAAACCAGGTACTTCAGGCGCACCCCGCTGTCTTCATAAAAGTGCCACACAGAGCACCCAACCAGAGGCGACAGGCCACACCGTGCCTGCCTCACAAAGCTCGGCACTGAGTGCAGCAGCGCTCCAAGAGGTTACCACAGCACTGCAGCAGCTGAAGGGGCAGCTGCATGGCACTGGTCTCCCCTCGCTGCCCATGACAACTCACACTGCGTGCTCCGCTCCTCTGGTGCCACAGGTGCTATCATCTTCCATAGCAACAGAACTTTCAGCGCCTCACACTCCTATCGTTAGCTACAGGGAACACAGAGACCTAGCGATATCTTCTACCCTAAATTCTCCATTTTTGAGTAATGACAACCAACCTCACTCACCACTATCTAATTACACAGTGTCACCCTCACCCCTAACAACTGAGGGGGACGACGACTTAGTGGTTTTCTCACCTCAGCTATCTCCGCGTACAGAGGCATCGGGACTG